CCAGCCTGCCCGGTCCTGTCCTAGTCCTGCCCTGCCTTGTCCTGTCTTGTCCTGCCCTGTCCTAGCCCTGCCCTGCCCACTCCGTGTCCCCTATCCTGACCCTGTCCTGCCCTGCCCTGTACTGCCCTGTCCTGCCCTGCCCTGCCCTGCCCAGTCGTGTCTCCTATCCTGCCCTGCCCTGCCCAGTCGTGTCCTGTCCTGCTGGTCCTGCCCTGTCCTGCCCTGTCCTGTCCTGCCCAGTCGTGTCCTATCCTGTCCTGCCTGGTCCTGTCCTGTCTTGTCCTGTCCTGCCCAGTCCTGCCCTCCTGTCCTGCCCAATCGTGTCCTATCCTGTCCTGCCCTGTCCTGCCTGGTCCTGCTCTGTCCTGTCCTTTCCTGTCCTGCTCAGTCCTGCCCATCGTCTCCATCCCAACCCAGCCCTCCTCCCCTGTGAGTGGCCCCAATGCTCTCTGTGCCTCAGCTGTCTTCAGCATACTTCTCAGTCCGTGGACTGGTTTCTTTGGGTGATCTGCCATCTGCCTCACAGAGACTCGGGTCCTGGATGTGGGGCAGGGAGCGGTGCCTGGCTGGCAGGCTCTCCAGCACCTCCACAGTGGAGGGATCTCACGAGAGAGTTGTTTCCACCTGGTGAGGTTGGGCTTGGAGGCCAGAGGGCCTCCCAGGACTTGGGCTGCACGGTGCTGGGTGTGTGCGTTCACATGCACAGCGCACTGTGTTGCGTGAATGTGTTGAGGTGGAGGGACCAGAACTTGGGCTGTGAATCGTCCTCACGTTTGTGTTCTTGTCCCGGGTCCCTCCTCTGTCCCCTGGTGCTCACCTTGGGCCTGGCAAAAGCTTAATGGTTCTCAGAAAGGAAGGGGACCCTGCAGTGTGGCTCCACCATCTGAGGGGTCGCACCGGCCGGGAGCATGTCGAGGGGGTGTGTCGAGGTCTCTGCCCCAGGACATGTGGGTGATGTCTCTTCGGTTTTCTCGGTCACCCTCAGCGGGAATTAGAGCTGCAGCACCAGCGAGATGAGCACAAGATCCAGCAGCTGCAGCGGACACTGAGGGAGCAGCAGGCGGGGGCGCGGCCCTGCCCCCCGGAGGCGGCGGGGGCGGCCGAGACAGAGGCGGAGGCCGAGCGCCTGCGGGAGCAGCAGCTGGGCCTGGAGAAGGTGCGGCAGCAGCTGCTCTGCGCGGCCGGGCTCCTGACCAGCTTCATCAGCCAGATGGTGGACAGGTGGGCCTCCCGGGACTGCGACGGCGGGTCAGCGCCGCTGATGTCAGGAAGAAGCCTGGCTTCGGGGCGTGTCTTTGATTTCAGATCCATGTTTCCATAAAATGGACTCCATTTCTCTGCCCGCTTGTGAGGGTGAACTCGGGGAAGATGCTGATGAAACTGTGTCTCTTGCATTCTAGTGTAACAGGAAATACAGGTTCCTTTCAGAGCAGTTCTCCCCTGCCCTTTACCACTGCTCACCGCCCAGAGGGTCCAGTCCAAGGCCGGCCCCACCCCTCTGCCCCAGCCACTAGGTTGAGGTGGCGCCCGTGTCTGCGCCCCAGGGGGACGCGTCTGCCTGGGTGAGGAGCCGAGACCCTGCCGTTTGGCATGGACAGAAATTACTCACGATAGCATTCGTCCCGTGTGCCCTTTTCTGGGCACACGGACACTCAGCTAGCACAGCTCTCCAGTCTGCACTGGATTTGGTTAATGGAGCAGTGAAGCCTCGCCTTGGGCGGCATTTTGGTAACAGACGCAGAGTCCTGCAGAGAGCTGGGGGGGGCACACTGAGGGAGCCCTGGGGTCGGCGGTCAGCCGCTGGAGGTTTCTGGGCTCACCAGACTGCCTACCCCGGGACCACCTGCCCCTCGGTGCCGCCATCACTTGGAGGGCCTGCTGGGTGCCCGCCTGTTGGCTGGACCCATGTGCCCCTCGTGAGTGTCATGTGCTTCCCCAGGACCATCGGTGACTGGACGTCATCGAACGAGAAGGCGGTGGCGTCTTTGCTGCACACGCTGGAGACACTGAAGTCTGAACTGGGCGCCTCCAGCTCCTGCCGGGTGAGTCCAGCTTTCTTGTTCATTGTCGCCCGCCTGCTTGCCTGCCCGCCTTCGAGCCTGCCTCTTCTGTGGTTTGCCTCCGGGGGGGCCATTCAGTGCACTGTCGAGACCCTGGGCTGGAAACCAGCTGCCCGTCTGCTGCGTCCGGAGGGCTTTGGGTCCTGGCTGCTGCTGTGAGTGCCCAATAAGCAGCGGGCAGTGGGGAGCGGAGCCCGCTCTCCCTCTGACCCACCTGCATGCACAGAGCACCCTCAGCTGGCCTGGTGCATCTTGCCCTCCTGTCTGGTGGGTTCCAGTGCCTCCTCAGTGTCCCACGCCTGCCGGTGGCTGACCAGAGGGAATGGGCCTGTCCCGGGGGACCCTCGGGGAGGGACACGCTCTTGCCGGCCACCTGTCACGTACAGCCTCTGCCAGCAGTGCTTCTGGAACAAAGAAAGAGGGCCGTTTTGTAACAGGAGTACTTTGTTCACACGGCCCAGTTTTGTGCAGAGTTTATTTCATAGAGGATTGAGAAGAAATGCGGTTTGGTGGTTTGATGGTTTTTATTATTTCACGTCCCCGAGGTGGACTCTGCCTAGCCCCACAAGCTCCCACCAAGCCCAAACATATTTAAAATTGTAATCCCTGAAAATAGCCAACAGTAAAAGCCATGAATAGCGTGCGTGCCTTTTAAAAGAGAATCCTCATACATGGACTTTTTTTCTCCTTAAGAAGAAAACAGCGGCAGAGCTGCAGGTCCAGCTGGTGGACGTCCTGCTGAAGGACAATGAGTCCCTGACCAGAGCTCTCAGCGCGGTGACCCGGGAGAAGGCAGAGCTGCGCCGGGCACTGTCCCAGCTGGAGAGGCCCCCCCGGGGCTGTGCGCGCAAGGTACGGGTGCCGGGCCCGCTGGCCGCGGCCGGGTTTCATGCTGTGTTCGGACTCTCGTGCGTGACGCTTGCCCCGAGGCAGTGCTCGATACTTGCTCATGAGAGGAAACTTTGACTAGGAATTGAATAAGCTGATGAAATGAGAGTTTTGTTTGACCTTCACCTAATGAAAACAATTAGTTTTCCTGGTTGTGTATTTTGATAGACATTTTCTCTGGAATGTCTCAATTTTTCTTTCTATTTATATTCAGCCTTTTTGTTTGTGAATTGCTCTTTTTTTTTGTAATGAAATCTTTTAAAACTTGTTTTTAAATTTACATCCAGTTAAACCTGCCTCTTGCTGGCACGATGGTGTTTGAGCTTTGCTCACCGTGAAGCCACCATGCTGGCAGAGCATGCGAGGCGGTCCCGCCCGGCCCCCAGCCTCCGGCCCCTGGCCCCCCTGTGCTCTGCTGCCGGTTTTCCTGAACGTCTGTGAGTGGGACCACAGGGCTGGGGCCTGGGGGCACCTTCACTTCTCTGTAAAGCATTTGAGGTCCATGGGTGGCCGTGGGCCATGGCTCAGACCTGTTCTTTGTCGTGTGGCTCCACCTGGCACGAATGCACCCAGCTTACGAGGGGCCCTCTGTAAACATCTGTGTAGGCGCACTGCTGTGTGGACGGAGGGTTCTCTTCTCTGGGTAAAGGCCCAGCAGTGGGCTCCCTGGGTCTGGTGGCAACTTGTGTGAACTTCCGCCTTTGACACCACTGGTGATTTCCAGAATGGCGGCACCGGTCTGATGAGTGTTCTGGCTACTCCACACCTTTGTGTTTGGTGGCGTTTTCCCTCTTTACGTCAGCATTCCGATAGGTGTGAAGTGGCTTCTACGTCTTCTTTGGTGAGGTGCCCATTGACGTCTCCTACCTTTCCTTACGTTGGATCATTTGTGTTCTCATTGCTGAGTTTGGGAGCTCCTTAAATAGCCTGGGCGTGACTCCCTCGTCAGACCTGCAGATGCTTCTTTCCAGGTGTGCACTGTCCTGTCTGTGCAGGACCCTTTGCAAAATAGAAGGTTTTAATTTTGATGGTGTCATACGTATCAGCTTGTTCTTGGCTCGTGCCCGGAGTTTCACAGTTTTACTTTTTACTTTACGATCTGCGTTGCGTTAGTTTTTGTAGTGGCCTGAGGGGTGGGTTGAGGCCCGTTTTCATGCACATTGGTCTCCAGTTACTCCTACATGCTTCATCGACCAGATGGTCCTCCCCTCCTGAACTGTCTCTTCCTGCGTCAGGAGTCACCGGTTGGTGCACATGTGTGTGTCTGGATCCTCTGTTCTGTTGCACTGATCCGTATGTCTGTCCTCCACCAGCTGCCTGATTGACATAGATTTATGGGCATGTTGGGGTCCAGCAGTGCTCTGGTTTTTTCTTTTTCAAATTGTTTGGCTATTGTAGTCTCTCTGTACTTCAGCATGAATTTTAGGATCTTGCTGGCTACTCTGGGATTGCGTTAAGTCTGTAGATCGATGTGGGGAGGACTGGGAAGAGAAGTGGTGTGGCCACAACGGACAACAGTCTGGCAGGTCCTCGGAGTTGTGGGGCTGCTGTCTCACCCCAGCCCCAACTCTGGTGTTTACTCACAAGTGAAAATACATGTGTGTCCACGTAAGACCTTGCTCGTAAGCTTTCCTGTCCCCGTGAGTCCTCATTCAAATGTGGGGATAACCCAGATGTCCATTCACTGAGGAGTGTGTGGTAAAATACAGTATACCCATGAATGGAATGCTACTTGGCCATGAAAAGCAGCTAAGGACTGACGGACGCTATAGGTTGGACGAGCCTTGGGAACGTGCCGACAGCAGAGGGGGCCGGACCCGGTCGACAGGAAGGGCCCGGCCAGCGGCTGGCGGGGGTGCCAGGAGCCACTGCTGGGCTGCAGCACCTCGGGCGTTGAAATCGGGTGATGTGAACAGACTGGAAATGAGTTCAGTTTCACACTGTAAGAGGATAAATTATATGGTGTGTGAATTATCTCAGTAACGCTGTTATTAAAAATTGGGGCAGGAATTGACGTCTGTAACTGTATCTAAACTTAACTACTTGCGCCTCCTGATCCGAGTGCTTGGCGTGTCGCTCCATGTAGTTGGATCTTCTAAAATTCCTTTCTTAAATGTGTTGTAGCCATTAGCCTGCAGATCCTGTAACTGTTTCATTACATTGTTACACAAATATTTCACTTGGGGGGCCATAGTAAATGGCAGTTTTCAGGTATTTGTTTCCCAGTTGTTTGCGGCTCGTGTCGGAGGTGTGACTGCTGCTCATAGGCTGAGCTTGTGTCCTGCAGCCTTGCTAGCCTCATGTTTTAGTTAGTCCCCTGAGCCTTTTTGTAGGATTTTCTCCATAGACAGTCTTGTCATATGCTCTTGAAAGGGGGTTTATGTCCTTCTTTCCAGTCTGCATACCTTTGATTTATTTCTCATTCCTGTTGCACTGGCTGGGCCTCCCCAGGCTGGAGGGGGACATGCAGCTCCCATCCCCGGTGGAGCCTCCGTCTTCACCAAGGCAGATGCCCTCGGATCAGTGTGAAGACGCCCCTTCTGTTCCTGGTTTGCTGAGACGTTTTGTCACGATGGACATTGACACTTGTCAGGCTTTTTTCTGCATCTGTCGACGTGATGATGAGGTGCTTCCTGGTCATCTCTTCCTGTGGTGGGTCACGTGGAGTTTCCCGTGGCCCCAGGAAGAACCCGACTGGGTCATGATGGATTACTCTTTCTAGGTACTGCTGCGTTCGATTTGCTTACGTTCTGTCGAGCGTTTCTGTCTGGCTCCGTGAGGGGCGTTAGCCTGGAGGGCTGCTTCTCGTTGTCTCTGCCTGGCTTTGGCCTTCTGAAGTGAGCTGGGGCTGTTCCCTCCTTGTCTGTTTTCTGAAGGAGATTATGTAGAGCTGGTATTTGTTTCTTCCTTAAATATTGTTGAAATTCACCAGCAAGACTGGCTGCACCAGTGTTTTCTCTTTCAGAAGGAGTTTCTGGAACTGTCGGGCAGAGGGCCCTGTAAAGGGCAGCTGAGTCCAGTTGGTCCTTGGGGACATTTGGGCCTTGTCCCTGCTGGTCTGTCAGGACCGAGAGGATAGAGTTGATGTCCTGGTGCAGCTCTGGGTCTGTGTGTCTTTTCGGCTCCACCCAGTCCCACCTTGTCTGTTGTGAGGCTCTGTGGGAGGTGAAGGGGCTTCTGTGCTGGTGACGTTGGGCCCAGCCACAAGGTAGAGCCAGGGTCTGCTCCCGGACGGAACGTTTTCATCTTGACGAGAGCCCTGTCTGCGTCTCTGGAAGCTGCTCCGGGAAGTGTTTTGAGGCTCCTTGTTCAGGGCACCCTGTGTGAGCTAAAGCGTGGTCACCCAAACACCTTTGTCCTTCCTGTGAAATGTAAGGAGGCACGGGGTACGTGTTTGTGATGTGCAGCCCGAAGGCAGGTGGAATGTTTCCTTCTTTGTGTCCAAGATGACATCTGTGCTGGTGTCTCTTTCCAGAGGAGACCACACTGTTGTTAGAACCAGGAGAGTGTGGCTCTTTCCCTCTGCCTCATCGGGGATCACCTTGCTCTGCACCTCCTTCTTCCTAGCCCTGCCCTGGAGTCGTGGCCAGCACAGCCAGGCTGCCTTGAGGCCACTGACCACATGGCCACAGTGACAGGCGGGTCCTGGCTGTCTCTGGTGGGCGGCATCCATGGCCCCTCACCGTGGGTCCTTCTCTTTCTGTTGTGTGTCCCCAGGGGTGCTCTGCACAGCATGGGGTCCAGGCTGTGCCACTGATGTTGGGACACATGGCTGCTCACGCTGCCCTCTCTGCCCGGTGCCTGGCCCTTGGACGTGTGGCTGCCATGTGGGGCCCGCCCACGGGGGTCCAGGTGTGGTGCCCTCACTCAGGGGTCCAGGTGTGGGCTTCGATGGCCCTGGAGCAGAGCTGTTTGCATCTGCCAGGGGTCAGCATTTCTAGGACCAGGGAGCTCTGAGTGTTTAATATGCTCAATGCTTTGTATTCAGGGTGACTTCACAAATATTAGGGGTCTTGTTTTTAGTGAAAATACGCTTTCTGTGCAGCCACACTTCAGTTAGCAGTGCGCAGCAGCCCCCTGCGTGTGGGTGGTCTGGCTAGTAACCACGTAGCAGCCGGGACACCACTGAGGAGAGGCTGGCCGGGGCCAGGGTGGGAGGTGCAGCCGGCGGGGTCTGGCTCCAGGCTGGGGGCACCGCTCTGCTCTGAGCGGCTTCTCTTGAGATGCTGTCACGGGAGTGGCGGTGTGGACATGCTGTCTGTGGTCATTGCAGAGGTCGGACAGGTCTGTGTGGAGGCAGGACAGGACAGTCTCGCCCAGCTCAGCACGACCCCCAGACCCAGCTCTGCCCACGCCGGAAGTAGCCAAGGTGAGACCGAGCCTAAGTGTGGTGGGGGGTGTGCAGACTGACCACCCCTCCTCCCACGGTGTGTCCAGTCCACAGACCTGCATGCCCTGTTCACAGCGGGCTGCTCTTGGGGCTGTACGTTCTGCGGGTCTGGGCAAGTGTGCGAGGACCCGTGTCCACCACAGTGCCCTGCACGTGTTTTCACTGCCCGGCAGTCCCCACGCTCCCCGTGGTGCTTCTGAAATCCTGGGTTAAGGGAGAAAGCTGTGATGCCTCGAGTCCCCAGATGATAGTGAGACGGTCTGACCAGCCGCTCACCCTCCGCATCTCCGACACTGAGGCATGGGCTGTGGGCCTCTCTTGAGGGAATGTCTGTGTTAGGACCCGGACACCCGCCTCGGCCTGTGATCCAGGTTTCTGCCGGCTCCCCACGCCCCGACGCCACCCCCGGTTTGGACCTGACTTCGTGGTTAGGTTTGCGGGGCCTTCGCGGGTGAAGGGACGTTGGTCTGTGCGTATTGTCTGGTAAACAGGATCGAGCCTTGAACAGCAGGGCTGTCTGTGGGTGCAGATGTCGTGTGGGCTGATCCTGTGATCCCCGAGGAAAAGGCACCCGGCATGAGGGTGCTGTACATGCCAGACGGCCTTGTTCCGTGCTTAAGCTTCACTGTTTTTCCCTTTGAGATGGAAAAACTGTACCTGCGCTATCTGCGAGCAGAGAGCTTTAGGAAAGCCCTGATCTATCAGAAGAAGTACCTCCTGCTGCTGATCGGCGGGTTCCAGGACTCTGAGCAGGAGACGCTGTCCATGATCGCTCACTTGGGAGTGTTCCCTTCCAAAGCGGAGAGGGGCGCTGCGGCCTCCCGCCCGCTCACGAAGTTCCGCACGGCCGTCCGAGTGGTGATCGCAGTCCTCAGGTATCGGAGGCACGTGCCCGTCTTCCGCGTTAGGTCGTTGTCGTCTGGGAAATGCTGCAGTTGTGTTCTCCTCTGAGATGGGTGACACTTGAGGCCTTAAAGTCCATGATCCTTGTCTCTGGAAGCCACGTTGTGCAAAACTGCACCTTCTCAAATGGAGAGAGTTTTTGTGACACAAAGCCTTACCCTTAATGGGGTTCCTTGTGACAACAGGCACGTTGATCAAGTTTAAGCTGCGTTGCCTTTCGGTACACTTCAGTTTCCCTCATTTTAGTCAATCCTGCGTTACAAGGTGGGGCATTGCCAAGAAGATGTGGTCCAGCAGGTGTGTGCTTGGCATGGGCAAGGCCCAGCCTCCACTGCGGACACAAAGTGTGTGGGGGGCCCTCGCCCCCAAGCCCCCCGATGCAGCCCTGCCCGTCCCCGTCCTTATTTGCACAGGGTGCCATTGTGGAGTGGGGATGGGACTCCCTGGTGTGATGGGGGATTTTGACTATTTCAGAAGTAACAGTGGTGAAAATCTATTTTATTTTACAATTTTTAAATTGGTTGTTTTTCTAAAACTGTTCCACTAAGAACCGTGCAGCTGTGTCCACCCTGTGGTCCTCCAGGCCATGCTTGCCTGGCTGCAGGAAGGGGCAGCAGGACTCCCATTGCTGTATCTGGTCCACCCGCCCACCCGTGGGGGTGGGAGCCACGTATACCCTCCCTCCTGGTTCTCCTGGCCTCAGGCCACCACCCACCTGCCTGTCCTTCTGTCTCTTGCTCCATCCATCCCAAACCTGCCTCCCATCTTCCCACCAGCATGGAGCAGTGGCATTCCTGGGGCCGTGGGGCTCAGAGGCAGCTGGGCTGAGGGGGAGCCACCGGGGAGGGGACGTCGAGGAGAGGGGCCCCCACATGGCACACCTCCTGGCACCAGGAGTGAACACCTGGAGGGCCAGGGTCTCCGTTTCCCCTGCTGTCCTGAGCCCGGCAGGTGCGTTGGTGACCTGACTGTGCTCCCACGCTGGGAGTCAGGTCACGTCCGGATCTGCATGGCTCTTTTCACTCCTGTTTCGCTCTGGTTTTCAGTGTTTTTCTTTTTTTGGAGGTTACGCTTTTTGGTTAAGAAATGGCAACAAGTAGACGGGAGAGGAGCCGTGGCGCCTGGTTGGGCGCGTGCAGGTACGTCCTCCACACCCGCAGCGCCTCCTGAATGCCCGTCTGACCTCAGGGCCCAGGGGGATCAGTGACACGCAGTGAAGAATCAGAAAGTCAGCCAGAGACAGGGCTTTTGAAGGGAAATGGTTTTTATTCTGGGAACGAGCACAAGTTCCTACAGTTCACGCTGGGGAATAAAAGTGGCTCAGAGGAGCGCAAAGAGGATTGAAGGTAGAAATGCTAAATATTTTAATAACTTATTTTCTTCAATAAAAAGTCCTTTTTCTCCAAAACTGAGTGAAATGCTACTTCACCTGTGCACCTCTCTGTGGGGGCATCGCTGCCTCCTCTGCCTCAGCCCCATCTCGTCTCCTGTTGTCTGCTGCCCCATCACACAGGCTCCCCCCAGGGGCAGCCTTGCACAGAGAACCTCCCACTCAGTGCAGGGCCGCACGCCTGGGCCCTGCCAACCTTCAGGGCTTCCCGACCCGTGCCGGTCAGCTTTGATGTCCACGTGTGAGTTATCACACTTGAAATCACACTGCTTCATAGGCCTGCAGGGGAGTTTGCCTGCCTGCCGCTCGCCCCCACCTCCTCCGGGCACCGGCGGTCCCCAGGTTCCGCCCCCCTACTCCTCAAGGCTCCTCCCTCAGGGCACGGGGCGCTCCTCCGGGAACTGCCCACACACCAGGGGTCAGGGCCGGCCTTGTAGGAATGAAATGCAGGTGATCAAAACTCAGGTTTCTTGTAGAGGTTTTTAAAATATAACTTTCATAACAGGGACTCTTAACATGTTTTGAACTTGCCATGCACACTCTTAAAAGCTCATAAATTTAAAATTTTGGTGGGTGGGTCTTCTTACTAAGTGCATCTGGCATCTCTTTTCTCAACCCCTTTCTTGTTAAATAATTCTGGGGGAAGGACCCCCGGTGCCGCAGCGGCAGCAGTCCTCACCCGACGCCAGCGAGTCCCCACCGACCCGGGACGTGTCCTCCAGCCACGCCAGGGACCCTGTGGCAAAAGCCTCCCCACGCAGGAGGGAAAGGTGAGTTGTGGTGCCTTTGGCTACTTTTCCAGTGCAAGAATGAACGGGGCCTCGGGCGTAGCCGTCGGTGGGAGCCCGTCTGCAGAGACAAGGCCGTCCATGGAGGTGTGTGTCCTGGGCAGTTTGTGGGGGTGCCCAGGCACACATGAACCCCCACATGTACACACACACGTGCAAGGCCTTAGTGTGAACTTCACATGATCTCTTTTCTTTGGAATTTGGGATTTTATTGCACATGTGATGTATCTTTAGACTTATGATCCACTTGGCAATTGAGATGTTACAGTGGTAAGGTTAAACATCCATAACGTATTTGGGGGAAAACCCATTATCAATGAAAATATAATTAAGGGGACTTGTTGGTTAGATTGTAGGATGTAATTTTGTGTAAAAATTGCTGTGAAGAAAGTCTTCCCTGATGGCTTTGATGGTCTGGGCTGTGGTTGGTGTCACTGTCACATTCTGAGGCCCTGGGGTCATGCAGTGGTCTGGTGTGGCCTGTTGGTGCGGGGCTGACCCTTCACTGTCTTCATCGTGATGAGACTTCTCATCCCAGTGCTGCTCGTGGAAGACGTGACTCTCCAGATCGAACCACGTAAATGACACAAATCATCCTACCAGACGCTTGAATATGATGATGAATCATTTATTTAATTCTTTCAACTCGGACTTTTCCAATATTTGGAACCTTCCCTTGAGGTGAACAGAAACGCCCATTTGTTTGTGGTGTTGCAAGCGCACGCAGAGGCTCCCGCCAGCGCATCGGCTCTGATCTCTGCGTGTGCTCCCCCAGGGTTCTAAAGGGAGCTTGTTGGAGGGAAATGCGTCCTCCAGCTCCACCATCAGGCCAGCAGGGATGAGATGCTGGCCTCTGGTGATGGTGGCCATTCTGTACGAGCTGCGTGGTAAGAGCGAGCCAGCCTTGGGCGGCCCCGCCCTGATGGGAGAAGCCGCAGCCATGGCGGCCCTGGCAGCCAGGAGCCGTCTCTGAGCAGGCCGGGGTCCCCGCTCACCGTGCGTCTCTGCTGACGGTGTCCCAGCAGAGTCTGTGCTCCTCAGGGTGATGCATGTTGATGGTGTTGGTCCCAGAGTAAGGCAGGGGCCACAGCAGCGTGAGTCTGTTCTCTGGTTGTGGCTCCCTGGGGCCCGGGTTGGCGATTGCTTTGAAAGAACAGATGAGGCCCAGGCCTCTTTCTCGTGGATGCTTAAGAACCACTCCCTGCCCTGGAGAGAAAGCGAACAGTGATGCAGACGGGGCTCCCTGGGCCCAGCTGGAGGCCAGGAGCGAGGGGCCAGGCAGTGGGACAGTTTGTGCTGGTCAGGGAGGGGCGCCGCACAGGGCACAGAGGTGTGGGTCTTAGGGACACGGGGCAGAATCCGGTGGGGGTAATAGATCCCTACTTGAAGATTCAGTGAAGTAAATAATATATGGTAGTTTTTACTTGTTTTAACTCGAAGACGTTGTATAGAAGTTGGTTTTTAAAGCACTGTGTAGCATCTTTTTAAAAAAGCCTTTCTTTTGTGGTAAATAAGAAATATGGAGGTACCAGCCACCTGCTTTTCCCCGTTCCCCAGCGCCACTGCCGTCTGACTCACTGCATTCAGACCATCTGCTGAGCTCAATTCTGTTTGTTTCTTGGTGTGGTTCATCTGTATCAAGATCCATTTCATTTCTGAATTCCAGATCAGAAAGATCCCTGACTGCTTCTCAAGATCCGGAACATTCCTTGACGGAATATATTCATCATTTAGAAATCATCCAGCAAAGACTAGGAGGCGTCCCACCAGGTACTGAAAGTCCTGTTTTCTGAAATAGTCTCACTGGTCCAGGAGTGTGCAGTGTGAGGAGGACTGCTAGTGGCCGGCTAGTTTCAGTCTGGCTGACCAGCCATCACAGGTGGGACCGGAAGATGGGTGACGAGTGTCGGAGGTGCCTTCAGGACGCGCTGTGGCGGGGTTGGAGCTGCTTGGGCACCAGCCAGGTCTCTCTCTCTCTCTCAGTGAACGTGAAGATGGTGTTTCAGCCGGGATGGAGTTTGTCCAGTGGGTCTTAATCCTCCCTTAAACTAACACTGTGTTTTAATTGTAATTCTTATTTTTACCAAAAATAAGTTAATTCAGTGTTAGCATTTTAAAATTGGGAAATTCTTCCTAAAAGACTTCTGACAAATTGCTACCTCATTTCTATTTGTATTTAGATTCTACTTCAAAGAAACCCTGCTACCAGAAGACGAAACAGTGAATAAAATCCTTGTGGCTCCGACCTGTGATCATTCTATATTGATTCTCTGAGGAACGCTCATGTGTGGCACATGTCCGAGGTGCCAGCCCCTAGGTGTCCTCATCTTCATGCTGTTACAAAGCCAAATGGAGTATTTTCTATGTAATTTCAGTGCGTTTTAGCTTTCTTGACTTGGAGGGGTCGCCACGTGCTCATGAGTGACAGGCAGCTGGCCGGTTCTGTGTCGGCAGAGCCACCCTGGCCACCTCCATGGAGGGTGAGCAGGGGATGGCTTCCTGATGTTTATTTTCTTAAAGTGCACTGGTGGAAACTTGGTTTAAGAACAAAAACATAAACAAACAAAAAGAGATAATAAAATTAAAGCCTTCTTGTATTTGTGAATAGCCCTTGTGTTTTTTAGTTTATCCAGTTTCCTTTATCACTGGCAAAAAAATAAAACATAGACTTAGAATTTATGTTAAACTCCTGCAATTCAAAAATTTTCAGTGGCACTGAAAGCATTCTTCACCTGGTAAGACAAACGGCCACTTGTGCGCCGGTTAATCGTGACTGGTTTATTCCGCTTTTGTGAGCTGCTGTCACCGTGTATTTACTTCTCATGCCGTGGCCTTCTGCATTTTGCTCATCCCACTCGTGCCACGTGGTAGTATCTACTCGGCACCCTTTGCCCAGAAGTCTGTCTGCCACGTAGTATTAGTAAGTGTCTCGGTGTGTTTCTGGGACCCTTGAACATGACATTTACTCTGCTGTGCTTGGTTTTAACATTAAGCTCCTTTTTTCTAAACCACCATTACGTATTTTGGGGAGATATTTTCTCTCAACCTACAACATGGTGCAAGTCTACGTCTTCTGCCTCGCAGTCACACTGCCGGGGTCGCTGTCTACAACCTTCCCTGTTTCCACCGAGGCCTGCATTCTGCTGCTTGACGCTGCTGGAGCCGAAATCTTGATGGGCCTCTGGAGGAGGGACCCGAGAACTGTCTCTCACTTTCCACATCCGGAGGAATGATGACTGAGGTTGGTTGTCAAGTGCGGCAGAAACGGAATTCCACATGCACCAGTCTCAAGCTAATGAGGGAAGGAGGGCTTATTTAAAGCCACTAGTGGACGTGACCATGACGCCAGCTCGTTACCCTGGGGGTTGATAATTAAAAAGAAAGAGACATTCCCCAGTTTTCATGGGAGAATGCGGGTCACACTTGCTGATGAGGGAAGTTCTTCACGGTAAAGCACTAGCTGACAAGCCAGAGGGGACGATACAATCAGAGAACCTCCAACTCTGCAGCCCCCGCAAAGTAATCACTTCTGGTCAGGCTCAGTGGCAGGTCCTAAACTAAGGTGACGTTCAGGGGAGTGGGACTCCCAACAGCACAGGGCCTGGCAGGTCCACTCTGCCGGCGGCTCCTGTGGCACGCTCCCAGTTTACAGATGGAGGAGCAGGTGACGCGAAACCACGAGGACAGAGACAGACAGGGCGTTCTTTAAGAGACTGGCTGGATTTCACCAAATCAACAGTGTTAGAAAACAAAAGTTAGAAGCCTTGTGTTCTACGCTGAAAGAATCTAAGGAGTCAAAATCAGTGCATCTGTGAAACTTAGTTCCTAAATTGGAGGGAAACAGCTGTAAATACATTTCTGGGAGTAACTGGGTGAATCTGAACGTGTACTGAATTGTTAGGGGACGTGGTGGTCATCTTCCTGGGTGTGACGATGGCTGGGAGTGCAGCTGTCCCTGGGAGCCGTGCACTGAACTGTAGGAAAAAGGAGCCACGACTGGAGCAACGGACTGTGAATTGTCCCGTTAGAAAAAACACATGCCTACATGGGTTAAGTAAACATTAGGTAGACATGCAAACTCTTCTGAAAATGTTGAATCTGGATTGAATCATAGTTCATATGCAGTTATTTTTTCAAATTTTTCATAATGAAAATGAAGAAAACACATCATAGCCAACTGAAGTCTGGCCAGGACGTCTCGACCTACTACAGGGTTCTGCGCCTGCCCAGGCGTGAAAACAAACCACGCTGGGCTTTCACACCAAGGGAATTCGGTACAAAGATGATGGCCGTGGTGGTGTGGAGCTGAGACGCGAGGCTGGTAGCACAGGTGGTAACCCAGAGACCGGCCGTGTCAGAAGTTGCTCTTTCCCTGGGGCTGGAGGGTCAGCAGAGTTGGTACTGGGACGGGGATAGGGTGCCTCTGGCAGGAGCCAACCCCAGAGGAGACGCATCAGCTCCTAGGGATGCTGCCTGCAGCTCCGTGGAGGGGAGAGGTACCCTTGCCCTCCTGCCCTCCTGTGTACCAGGCCAGACGGGAGCAGGCAGGAGTCCATCTGAAGGCACATCGGCAGATGACCCTTTGGCTACTAAGAATTTGTCCTCATCCACCTGTATTTAATCGCCAAAACACACCTGCCTGGTGTGGGGCACATACTCTTCAAAACAAAGACGATCGAATCCTCTCCAAGACCCACGAGGTCATACCTCAGTAAGGCAGGCTCTCCAGCGAACCCAGACTTCTCCCTTGTTGCCGGGCCTGCCCCCTTGCTAATCTGTACAGTTAACACACCAGCATGCGTGACTACACGTGGAACGTGGATCTGCTCCTGGGAAAACAAACTTGTGACTCTTACGGGACGAGTCCCAGTATCGCGCATGTGGCTGGGCTGACCTTCCCGGTGAAAGGGGCCACACTGGGAGCTCAGCGTTGGTCTCTTCAGCTGGCAGGTTAGACCTTCAGTGGCAGCAAGTGCTTAGACCAGGCTTTGGTCAGGCAGCCACACCATTGGGCCTGTGAACAGCCTCCAGCTCATTACCTGGACCGATCGTGCAAGAGATGCTGTCCAGCGTCAGCCTGGCTGTTTATTACTTGCCCGGACACTTGTGGGCACCAGCGTTTATACAAAAACCATCCCACTTGGCGCCTATTCCGGTACATCTGCTCACACGTTTCTACCACAGACCTTTGTCCCCAGTTTCCAACTGTGTTCCTTCCAGGCCCTTAACCAGCCACCCAGGCCATCCACCACTGCCCGAGTGTCCGTATAGGTCCTCACCTTGGGCCGCCACTCACACGCAAAAAAGTGAGTGACCAGGCACTCTGCCTATTGAGAGGGTATGTCGCTTCAAGGCCACCCTGAGCGAGGCTGTCGTGTAGCTGCTGTCCATTTTCATTTTGAACTCACATACCAAGCCAATCTAGCTATGAACCAAGCTCGAGATTTTTCCTCCTCTGTCAGCTGGTCTTAAAAGCTTCCCCACACAATCCCAGGTGAGATGAGAGAGGCCCTGACACAACAGCAGTGGATGCTGCGTGGGTCTGGGCCACATGCTCCGAACAGTCTCACACTCACTGGAATCTACTGCTCTCCACCTTCTGATGGACTGTTGCCAGGCCAATCCGACCTCATGACTTGGCAGGTTTGGCAGAACCCCCCTAACAAAGCGCTGTTTTTCCCTGCATGGTCACCTGGTGTCCCCAGGTCAGGTGTTCCACCTGTAACAGAGCACAGAAGCACACCAAGGCGGTGGTGTTTCCCCCAAAAGGTACATAACGCCCTGCTCCAAGTATCATGGTGGAACCTAGGGTCGGGCTTTGTGGATCTTCTACTGAGATGTGCCAGGAACTCCACATTGCACTGTTCCCCACCAGCAACCGCCAGTACCACCAGCTAGACCACATGGCCCAGGCAGCAGAGCTGCCTGCATCACAGCCCTGACCTACTACAGAACTCTTCCTGTTCTAGGCTCTTCTCAACCTGGCAGCCTTCCAAATCACCCAGTATTCGGGCCAGAGCAGTATCTCTAAGGTGTGGAATATGCTGCTTCCAGAACCTGAAGAGGCCCAACAGTGTCTTCCTTTCTTAATGGCTGAAGGTGCAAGATGCATTAACTGTCTCCGGCTTTTGGAAGGGAGGCCATAGGGTATCACTGGACTCCTAAAAATGTTACACGTAGCAAGTCCTGGAATTTTCATAGGGTTCATCTATTATTCCCTGGAGCACCTGTGTCTTACCAAGGCCTCCACCATTGTCATCTCTTGCTCATCTGGCCAATCAACATAATGTTATTGATACAGTGGAACAATGTGATATTCTTCAAGATGGTGAAGTCTTTGGGCTGAGAGAGGGCAAGAAGGGTAACACAGCCTTCAGGCAAAACTGTATCTTTGTGAAATGCTTCTAATCCTCTTTTCTGACAGAAAAGAGCACCCAGTCAATAGCCACCTGCCTCGTCTCTACTATCAGGGCTATTATTTGGTTGAGTTTGTAACACACTGTCATCCTCTGATTCTTGCAGGGGTCATGTTGGTGAACTAAAGTTTCTGGGGACCACTATGCTGTATCCTTTAGATCCTTTAAAGTGGCACCAATCTCTGCCATCCCCCCCCTCCCAGCCCTACATGTGATACTGTTTTATGATCTTGGTAGGAACAGGGCACTTTCTGAGGTTTCCACTTGGCATATTGTGACAGCTCTAAACCTACAGGTCAGGGACCCCACATGAGACTATGTCAATGCAATTACTCAGCTGGGGACAGGGGAAATGACCACCCAGCAGGTCCAGAGACCCAGTGAACCCGTAAGCTGGACCTTGGGCAGGACCCATTAATTATCTGGCCACCATATGCAGCCACTCTGACGGGGGAGCCATGGTGATGATCTGGTTGTCTGGATATCAAAATCACCCATCCTCGGCCTTTTTCAGCTGGGAGAAGCCTCAGTAGCTCTCTGTTCCTCTGGGGACGCCTGTTTTATTAGCCATTTCTGCAGCTCTGCACTTACGTTTCCTTGGTTGCCACTCAGACCTTGCTGGCGATCGTAACTGTGATACTCTGACTTCTCAGTTAAGTGCTGCCCCTGGCCTCTTGTTGTAGGGCCCTACTACCCCCAGTGCTGTCGCCCAGGCAGGTACTGGAGCAGCCTCTCCTGCTGTCCACTCTTGCCTACAGAGCTGAGCCACCACTGAATCACAACACCAATGCCCCTTTCGTCAGCCTGTTTATTTGTAAATGTGTTATTTGTGCCTTTATGTGGAATACAATCATCTGGTGGGTCTTCAGGAAGCACGGAGTATTTAAATTTCAGCACAACTATATCCCTGTCCCCTTTACTCCTTTCCATCCTTTAGTCCATCCCAGCAATTTTCTCATTTCAGCTTTTTTTATTGGGGGCCATAGCTTTCTCCATGTGTAGTGTTTTAAAAATATATCTGCAAATTCTGACATAGCTCCCTTCAGAAGATGGAGTCTAATTCCTCTTCAGCGACTACAGGTGAGATTTACTAGCAGAAGCGGCAGAAGTGATGGTATGTTACTCGAGGGTAGTTCACAAAAAGGCTGTGGCTTTCCTTTGTCTCTGGACAACTGCCCTTGGAACCCAGCCATCCCACTGTGAGGAAGCCTAGGCCACCAGGGGTGGCCACGTGTGGGTATGCCGGCCAACATTCCTTAATCTGGGCGCCAGCATCAATGGCCAGACATGTGAGTAAATGAACCCTCAGATCATTCCAACCTCTAGCCTTCAAGCTGCTCCAGCTGAAGCCCCAGATGCTGTGAAACAGATAAGCCATCCCCACTATGCCCTGACCCACAGTCACCTGGAGAGCTAATAAATGATTCTCATTTTAAGCCACAAAGTGTGTGTAGTAATTTGTTATGTAGCAAAGGTACAGCACAATTTTAGGAGCCATCCTTTCAGTGAGTTTGCTACCAGTCTTTGCCTGGGTGTTAAATCCTGTATCTTAGAAGACTGCTCATAATAGTCTTCTACCCGATTTTATACTCCAGCTCTCTCTTGAATTCTGCAGCGGTCATGCTGTTGAACTAAACAAGGATGCTGGGGACCACCACTCAACAAGCACTCATAGTCCCATACAAACTTTCCTAGCTCCTAGCAGCTGGCTGGATCTTACAGCCTGTAATGGGTTGAACTGTGTCCCCCCAAAAGATGTTGACATCCTAATCCCCAGTACCCATTAATATAATCTTACATGGAAATAGGGTCTTTGCAGATGATCAAATTAAGATGAATTAATTAGGGTAGGTCCTAATCCAATGACTAGTGTCCTTAAAAACAGGGGATTTGGACACAGAAACAAACAGGGAGAAAGCCATCTGAACATGAAGGCAGAGACTGTCATGATGCATCTACAAGCCAAGTAACATCAAGGATTGCCACAAACCACCAGAATACAGCAGACAGGAATGGAACAGACCCTTCCCTCATAGCCCTCGGTCACCCTGTTCTAACTTCTAGCCTCCAGATCTGTAATACATTTCTGTAAGCAACTCAGTTTGTGGTACTTTGTTACTGCAGCCCCAGCAAACTAATACACAGTGGTTTCGGGTGGGGGGGGCGCTTTAGTCTGTTTTCTCTTTCACCATGTTTCCAGCTTATTTATGTTAATAGTCATAATTATATGCCTAGTATCCAATAGGTTGAGGGAAGGAGTGCTAGGTTGGTAGAGAAAGGTGAGCCACATGGGCACGTTCCAAAGGTTCAAGGCCGTCTGGGGGAGTCAAAACCTTTGAGGGCATCTACCCTGATCTCAGGTATCTCTGGGCCCAGGTCTCCCCAACCAGGGCCCCAAACTTAGTGTAACAGAACTGCCTTGATTGGGTGTTCATCATCTCTGAGGTATTAATTCTTAGGTCTGGCCCTTGTCTTTATTGTCTCAATGTAGATCAGAGTTTCTCTGCATGCAACCAAAGTGACTCCATGGCTTCCTTGGTGCGTTGCTGGCAGCCGGCAGCTGTCCATTAAGGACATCAGTAATACTGAGAAATAGCTTCCCAATTCTGTTACCCTTCTGTATAGCTAACGTTTCCACATTTACATCATACATAAAGGGCCACTAGTGTATTCCATTTCACTTGGCTGGTTTACTCTCCTACTTCAAAATGGGTGAAAAGCTAACAATTAGATCACTTTCAGCCAGAGGCTGTATGTGTTCCCCCACAAGTGGTGAGTGATTCAGCCTCAAACGCCATCTTTTCACCTGCCTTCTCAGACTCCTGGTACCAACTGTTGCAGGATGGTTTCCCCAGAAACAGACGGTGAGATGGAGTTTGGGGCACAAGCTGTTTACCCGGCGTCAACACGTGTGAAGGGAAGAAGGAGGAAGCAGAGTCGGGCAGAGCCAGTAGAGGGCTACGCCGGCCCAACAACGAAGTTAGTCCGCTGTACTCTGGAGCAAGCGCTTCTGAGCAGAGGCCCCCCGCCTGGGCCCAGTGGCCTGATCTTTGTCCTCCTGCCTGTTCAGCCCCCCTGGGAGGATTGGCCCGGGACGGTGGCCTCCGCAGGCAGGTGGGTCCAGCACAGCCCACGGCGGCACCAGGCAGATGGCTTCCCGACGCTGGGGACCAGCCCCTCCAGGGCTCGGGGGTGGCGAGCGGTCTCAGTTCAGCTGCACCAAGCCCCCAGGCTCCGGACGTCCGTCTTGCCCGATGTCTGTCCTTGCCCTTCGCCTGAAATGGCCGCGGGCGCGCTTCCGGTCAGTGCCGTGCCTGCCGAGGCTGTTTTAAAAGGCAGACGGGTTAACACATTCGCGGCGCGTCTACGCGGGACGTCGAAGTGGCCCGGGGCGTCCGGCTGCCCCCACAGCGGCGAGAGTCCGCGAGGGAGGCCGCTCGAGCCGGGAGGACAGCGTGTGGCGGGGCCCCACGGTCCACGCGGACGCGAGGCCAGTGCCCGCTGCCCCTCCGAGGGGCCTGTGGGAACTCCGCGGACGCCAGCCCGCCGAGGTTCGCTGCCCCAACGCGAGGTGAGGGGCGCCTCGTGGCCGAGACCGCAGCACCGAGGCCACGCTCAGAGCCTACCCGCCCTCGAAACCCCGGTCGCCGGCGCCGAGCCTCTCGGGAGTGACGCTCTCCCCGTTCTCCCAATAGGAGCCCTGAGCGGCCTCGCCGCGTCCTCGGGACCAATGGGAACTAGCCTCCGGTGTTGCTGGGCGGGGCCGGGGCGCCCACTCTGCCGGAGACTCGCTGCGCACGCGCACTCCCCTCCCGCCCTTCCTGCCG